CCCCCGCGCCGGGGCGCTCTCCTAGGGTCAGATCAGCTCCGCTCTGCAGGACTGCCCCGAACACCCACAGAACCGCTCAGCTCCCCTCAACAACTGCTTCCTCTAACCCTGCTAGCCCAGCCAAGTCCACCAAGTGTCTGCCTGTAGGTGTGGCCCTGTCGTGGTGACCCAACAGGGGCTGCGGTGCAAGGGGCTTCGGGGCCCGCCTTGGGGCTGCTGAGCGCTCTTTGTGGGCAGATGTATTTACAGGGCGTGCCCATCCTCCTTCCTGAGAGCAGCTCTGGAAATCCTGGGTCCTAACTTCCTACCAGGGCTGACCTGGGGGCCTCATCTGAGCCCACAAAGGCGCACCTCGGCCTGTACAGCCACACAGAGGCTGTTTCCCAGCACACGAGGCTTCTGAGACAGACCAGCACCTGCAAAAGGAGCCTTGGAACAAGAAGGAGCCCCCCGGGGTCTGTGCTGTGTAGATCCACACAAACCCTGCCCAGTATTTAGAAATCCAGGTTGGGTCCATGCTGGACCAACAATGGGTCAGCAGCCCCCTGCTGCCAGCAGCCTTCGCCTGATCCCTGGTCACCACACAGCGTGCCCTAACAGTGCACCCGCTGCCTGCCAGCTCCCCCGCTGGCCCCGTGGCCTTTCCAGCCCCGGCTCTGCTCTCCCTCGTTCTCTCTTTCTGGGCTATTTCTGTGCACCCAGGTGCTCAGAGACTGACAGACTGAAAGACTCGTAACATTTTCAAGCGATGTGAAACCCACATTTTTCTTCACTGTGCAGAGTGGAAGCTGGAGGCCCAGAGTAGGGGCAGGATTGGGTTTGTGGGGCTGAGAGTTATATAATTTGGGGGACCTTCTTTAAGAATGAAATACATCAATACAAATGAGATATGCAGGCAGGCCTTAGGAAGGGCCATGTGGGTGAGTGCAGGGCCCTGGAAGCTGACCCTGAGTCTCCATTGACTTCCAGGGTAACCCGCCCTTGCCCCGAGGGTAAGTGACATGCTCAAGGTCACACAGTTCGTGAGTGGCAGGGTCAGGCCTGGGTCTGGAGTCTCCTCCCATACCACACTGCCTGCCATTCATCCCTGTCATTGCTTCTGGGTACTTACAGGCAGTGACTGTATTTGGAGATGTGATGTGAGATCAAGAGAGTCCCGGACAAAGCTCTTCCTGGGAGCACCCCACTCTTCCTGCAGGAAGCAATCTAGGGGTAAATGGAGCTCAGAGAGGCTCACATGCTGACACAGGGTTGCTCAGCATTACAAGAACTGAGCTGGTGGCTCACCTCCCAACCTCTGAAACCCCAGATGTGTCCCCACCCCTCCCATGTCCACATCTCCCCCCCGCCTCCACTGGCGGCCAGGCTGTGTTGCAGATTTCTGCAGCACCCCACATTAAACCTGCAAGCAAAAGGGATATTAAACACCTCCTGCTTCCCGGGGGAACAGTAAGTGTGAGTCGCACATTTGACACAGCAGAAGGCTTGTAGGGGTTTCAGGCCTCGGGAAGAACAGCCTCGTTTCCTCAGAGAAGCTGCCCCAGGGATCCAGGCCTCAGAGGTGTCAGGAGGGAGGACAGAGTCTGCGGCCTCTGAGTTCCCCCAGGAGAGGGGTGGGGACATCACGGGCCCTGTGCCTCGGCTGACTCTGTTGAATAGAGGAAGGTACCCCGGGTAACAGCTGGGCAGGTGAGGGCCAGGTTTCCTCCTCTGTGGTGCCCCCTCGGGGAGCCTAGTGCTGGCACCCTGGGTGGCACCAGTGGGACAAGGAAAGGCACTGCTGACTCCCAGCATGGGAGATGTTGAATTCTCAGGATCTAAGAAATCACCTGTCACACAGCTCCTTGTGCGGGAATTTCACATCCTGGAGCGCGATATCTCAGGGCGTGATGGTCAAATCTGCTTCTGGTCCCTGGAGGCCCCAGGCCCTGGACAAGGGTCCACGGGATCCTACCCAATCAGTCAACCTCCAGGGTACATGGGCTTGGGTACCTCCAGATCTGCTTCCAGGAGATTAGAGACACCAAAACCATGGTGGAAACATGACACTGGGGCTAGAGACCTGGAGCCCAAGGCTCTGACCACCAAGGAGAGGACGTGACTTCTAAGCCCCCTGCCTGCACCCTGCCCCCCCTGAGGAGTGGGGGACGGCTTGCATTGAACTCTGGCCCCCTGGACTTGGGGATCCCCCAGAGGCCTCCCCACCCCCAGGAACAGTTCTCAGTGCCTCCAGGGCCCTGCTTCCAAAGCAACTTGGCCAGCTCAGTCTACTCCCCCTGCCTGCATTTTTCACTTCAACACCCTAGTAAGAAAGGTGATGGGAATGTTTGTTTCTCTACCATTTTCAAGTCTTAGAAACTGAGGCAACAGGAGGTGTACCCCACAAAGAGTAGGTTCCAGGAGGGTCCCCTCTGCCTACCAGGACCTGCTGGAATCACACAGTTCAGGAGGGCTCAGCTCTGACCTCCCAAGAGCCTCTCTTTTCAGGGAGTCAGTGGGATCCCAGCTGAAATGCTGTTTGGGCCAGGGTGCTGCTTGCTGTCAAGTGACTTCCTTAAAAAAATTGTTGGGTCATAATCATGGGCAAGCCTCCCTTACCATAGTTATGGAAAGCAACCAACATACCATCAGGGCAGGAATAGACCTGAGAGAATATTTACTTGATCCTGTGACTGGGCTGGGGGCGGGCGAGTCTCTAAAGCCCAGAGAGGGCAAGTGACCAGCCCCAGGTCACACAGCAAGTAAGTAGCAAATTCAGAACTTTAACCCAGTTTCATAACATACCCCCTAATCAAAGGTTAGGCCAAAACCAGCAACTGAGTACTTTATAGCAGGGTCTGATCTGCCTCAGAGAGGACTGTGGAATAAGAGTTACCGTTGTTTCATTTCCTAAATGACCTCTCTGGAATGGGGGGAGGAGGGGAGAAGGATCCAACTGAGAAATCAGCCCCGCCCCGCCACCCTTGATTTTTGGTGGTAGAGGAGGTCTCAGAGGAGAGCAGAGAAGGAAAAGAGAGACACGGGAGCATTCTGCGTGGGGTGACACAGGGCTGGGTGGACAGGCAGGTCACTTCCAGCCCACTCTTTGGGGAGAGGCCCTGAGCCAATCACTGGAGCCCTCAGGGGCCTGTTGGCAGAGAACAGGGCAGCTCACAGGCAGCAGTTGGAGGAGGGTTAGAAGCAACTGTGGGTATTCGTGGCCTCCTTTAGACGGAGGCTCCAGGAGATGTCAAGTGCTGCTAATAATAGTGCCCAGTCCCGCCTCTCAGTCACTGGCAATCACGGGAGTCAGTGGGCCGCAGGGGACAGCTGGCCTGCTACAGTGCCAGCCATGAGGCCCTGGGGCTCTAGGCCCATCTTCCACCAACCCACGGTGGCCCCGTGGTTTCTCGTGGTGCACCAATTTACTACGTGCAAAACAAGGACAGGGAGACCAATAGGGGGTAAATTTTCCCCCTTCCCTCTTTACTGGAACACAGCTGGGAATGGGTCTGCTGAGCCTCTGGGGTCCTGGAGATGGGCACAGCATATGCTGGTGTCTTACGTTGGTGATAGAATGATAGAACTTTCCAGCAAAAAATCTCAGACAAGGGAATGGTTGGAGGGAAGGGCGTCCAAACTATACAGAGGTCTTCTCTTTGCTCTAGAAAGTAGGGAAACTGGGGTTCACCCTTTCCCCAGGTTATGAGCAACGTCGTCCAAGAGCTGGGCCACAATGAGCCAGACCTTGACTGAGACACTTAACCTCCTGGCCCATAGGAGCCTGAAACACTCTTCCCCCAGCTCTGGGCTTTGTGCCAATCAACTGCCCACTGATCATAGAGGGCTATATAAATGCTAAGTGGAGCAGAGGTGGGGAGTGGTGGGGGATGCGAGCCAGTGGTCCCGGGTCCCCAGCAGTCCGCCCCTCCCCCTGCAGGATGCATGTCAAGGGGGAGAGAGGGCATCTCCAGGAAGGAGCGTGACCTCCCTAGAGGGGGGAGGTCAAGGGGTTGGTGGGCAACGCCGGGGTTAATGACTTCTCTAATATTTTAGAATTGAGATCTCAGGAATGAGGAGGAGAAAGAGGAAGCAATGCCCAGCATATTTGATCCTTAAAGCCTTTTTTATTTTTCCTTCAGAAAGGAAATGCGTGCACACACACGCACATCGGAACATATAAGTGTTCTCATATGCATCCATCTCCATATGTACCAAGTGTCTGGCGCAGAAACACTCAATAAGTGCTGCTATTATTATTCCGCATAAACATAAACACAGGAAACACAGGTATATTTTCGCACAGCATCCCCAAGTGTACACACATAGATTCAAATACACGATAATATTTGGGTGCTCATTTTCTGCAACAGGCACTGTGCCCAGAGCATCGGATGGTTATCCTGAACCCTCCCAACAATCCCGTGAGGTACGCACTGCGGGTAATTCCCACTTTACACGTGGGGAGTCTGAGATTCGGTTCCTCTGCCCACATGCACACAGCTGGTCACTGCGGAGCCCCTACACAGCAGTACACATGTGTGCCCGTGTGTGCTCACATGCACATGCACATCTGAATGCACAGATCCTACGGATGTGCACAGACCTCTTCTCACTTCAGCACGCATGGGAAGACGTTCATGCACGCAGACACTCCCATGCATACGTGGGCAGCATGTCTTGCCTTGCTGTCAGGGGGATCTCAGGTCCTTCCTCAGAGGGGCCTGAAGGTTCTCTTGATCTTCGACCAACACGCCCCTGGTTGCTGCCTCCTGCTTCCACTTTGGGTCCTGGACAGACCCAGGCCTGAGAGGCAGGAGCCTGGCTTCGATGCCGATTTAGGCACCACCAGCATCCCTCCTAGAGGTCGGAGCAGCCTGACACTGGCCCCTGCCACCTTTCCCCCACCGGGGCCTTGGAAGAAGGGGACAGGAAGGACGGGGGCACTGGAACTTGGCTAGAGGAGGAAATGGGAAGGGGCGTCTGGAGAGGGTTCTCCCCCCGCCCCCGCTACGCACTTCCCCCGTGGCTGTCCTCTGTCTCCCTGCTGCTAGCAGATGGCAAGGAGCAGCGATTATCTAGCTTTTGCAGCACCAGACTCAGAGTACCTAACTGGAAATGCTCCTGTCTCCAGAGATTCCAGTTCGGCAGGTCTGGGTGGGGCCTTGGAATCTGCATTTCGTAGACCTCATCCCCAGCCCCACCCCCATGACTCTGATGAAGGTGGTCCATAGACCACCATGAGAGGGGAAGAGGTTTATTTTGAGAAAACTCACGACGACTTGGAACGACCCACCCAGACGCGAAAAACTTAAATCTCTGGGGAGTTGGCTAGTGGGCTACGTGGCCAAAAGCTTATGAGTCCCCAGCTGAGTTATGGGATGATCAAAAAAAATTCTCCAGTGTTGCTTCTGCAGGGGTAGGGAGCTTTGCTTTATTCTATGGCTCAGCCCAGACCCTGGCCTTGGCCCAGGTGTCATCGATCTCGAGGGAGATTATACGAGAGTGTGGATGGTACAGGGCAAACCACTGCCGTTGTGGGACAGGCACCACATGTGGCTCCCTGGCCTGGGTGTCATCACCAGGGAGTTAGTGAGAAATTCTGGTGCGCTAGGTTAGAGCCCGGAGAAGGCTGGACACACACCCTACTTATGTTTCTGTAGGAGGACAGCGTCACAGCATGCTCATCGTGGAGCACGTTCTGTCACTCAGGAATATAGGGCAGTTTCCCAGGTTAAGATGATGACATCTGCTTTAGAAGCCCCTACGGATAAGCTACGGAGGCAGAGGCCCTGAGACCCTCCACAGCTGGTGCACTCCCACGTTTCTGTGCTGCCCTCCCCTCAGTGACGTAGGGAGCATCAGGGCCCTGACACGACAGCCACGAGCATCCCCACGGCCCAGCCCCACCAAACTTACTTAAACCCTGCGTTAAAAGAGCCCCCACTGGCTCTGCAAACACAACTTCAGACCAAGTCTCCTGGACTGAACTCTTCCAACAAGTCGCCCATCCTCAGCCCCTCCTCTGCAGAAAACCTGCCTCAGCTCTGATTCTCCATCCCACCCGCTGTGGTGGGCAGAATCTAGTGGAATAATGAGAAAATCATCAGGTAGGGATTGGAAAAGCTGCCCAGGGCAGGTTCCAAGCTCCTGCTGCCTGTCCTCCTTCCCCAGGGATAGAGAATGCCTGCTGTCAGAAGGCGGGTGGGGGCGGGCATACTGGGGGCTGCCTGAGAGGTACCTCCCACTTCCCCCTCTCCCCGCCTTAGCACTGCAGCCCCGTGGGATGGACCCAGCTGGGTGGAACATTAGAGGAGAGCTCGGCAGGGAAGCGGGGCCCAGAGGCCTAGAGGCAGCTCCCTGCCGCCCCACCTTGGGCAGCTGTGGAGCTGGGGCCCCTGCTCTGTCTTGGAGCCTTTGGAGACTTGACCCAGATTCCCAGGTTTGTGCCCTAGGGTGACCTCAGGATTTCCCACCTCACCTCTGAGCTCTCACCCAGTCCTCTTCTCTGTTAACCCTCAGCCACTCATCCCCTGAAGAGTGCAGCTCCTTCATTGCTTCCCCTTTGCAACCACTCTCCCTGCCTGCAGATCAGTCTTGGCCAGGTCTCTGGTAAAACACCCACCTCCCCTGAACATGTCCTAGAAATTAAAGCTCCCAAATCCCATTGAGGACTGGCAAGTTCCCCTGGGCAGCCAGGGCGGGAGCAGGCCCCTCTCTCACTAACTTCCCGGGGAGAGCCCAGCTGGCAGGAACAGGCCTCCGCAGAAGGTGGCCAAGCCACTTGCTCAAATCTGCTCTGTGAACCCACATTCCAAATGGGTGTCCCCCCAGGCCTGGCATCTCCCCGCCTTAGCTTCTTGACCCCCTGTTCTGGTCCCCTGAGATGCACGTCGCCACCCTGCCCACCCATGCTTATGTGTGCTTACACACACATGCGCGCACAGTCTTGGCCTGCCTTTGATCCCGTGCACTCTTGCGGACACCAGGCCGAACACTGGGCCCCCCCTAGAAATCTCTGTGACCCAGCTTTCTCCTTTCCTTCCGGTCCTGGCTGCAGTATTCCTACGAAGGGATGGAGATCAACAACCTGCCGGTGAAGCTGACAGTCGTGTGGAACGGGCACTTCAACATTGATAACCCAGCTCAGAACAAAGGTGCAGAAGGAGGGCCCGGGCAGGCCGAGGAGGGGGGAGCAGCTCCCATCGGTGGGCAGTGCCATTCTGTCCCCCACCCAAGCCAAGCCCGCTCTCCGCGCCTCCCCAGCGCCCTTGCTGCTCTGTGACTGCTCGGCGCAGGGGGACGGCTGCTGGGAGTACAGTGGAGGGAGCAGCGCAGGCTGGAGGGGGTGCCCCAGAGACTGAGGGAGGCTCCACCACCCAGCCACCATCCTCTGCTCAGGCTTTCCCTGCATCCGGAGGGCGGAGGGGACAAGGCTGCCTCACATCCCATCATCCAGGCTAGCACTACCCTCCTGGTCCGCACTCCCGGGCCCCTCCCAGCCCCCTGCCCCCACCTCCAAGCCCCCTTTGCCCTTTGCCCTTTGCCCACAGTTCACCTCTACAAGTGCGGCGCCATGCGTGAGAGCTGCGGGCTGTGCCTCAAGGCGGACCCGGACTTCGAGTGCGGCTGGTGCCAGGGCCAGGGCCAGTGTACCCTCCGGCAGCACTGCCCCATCCACGAGAGCCACTGGCTGGAGCTGTCGGGCACCAACAGCAAGTGCACGAATCCCCGCATCACAGAGGTGAGCCGTGGTCCGCTGGGCCCGCTCTGGGCCGCTGAGCCCTGTCCTGCCACGGGCGGGGCCCTGGGAGCCATGGCTGGCATGGTGTCCATCACCCCCGTGACCACCTGGTGCCCAGCTGGCTGCGGGCATCCTCATTTCCCTGCAAATCTGTAACGGCTTTAGGCTTGGCTCAGAGGCCCTCCCCTCATCAAGGGAGGTCGAGAGCAGAGAGGGTTCCACTGTCCTGTGGAGTCTCCGTGTGAGCCGCGTCCGAGAGGACTTGCGGTCCTCGACACCCCTTCCTTGTCTCCAAGAGTCCTGGTGGCAAGGCCATGAAGCTCCATCAGCTGCAGCTGTGAGTGGAGGCTGCCTGGGGGTCAAGGGCGTGGAGCCCAGCCCCGGAGAGGTGGAGCAGGTCAAAGCGGAGAGGCCTCGGGACTCACACGAAGCAAGACCTAAGCTGTGAAATGGCAGAAACGGACCAGGAGCACAGTTCAGGGGGACAGAGGGGCCGTGGGCCGTGGAACGAGGAGCCGTGAGGGGCGGGGCGGGGCTAAAGATGCAGACGGGGGATCACAGAGAACAGCGTTTGAATCCCAGCTCCATTTGCTAATCCCAAGTAATTGTTGGGTCCCCTGCGACTCCTTCATCTCCATCTCCAGGCCTCAGCTTGCTCACCTGTGCCCTGGGTCGACGCATCCACCTCACAGGGGAGTGACAGGGATTACATGAGCGAACCCATGCAAGATGCCTGGCTGCATGCCCAGCCCGTGGGGATCTCATCACCCTCCGCCTCCTTGTTGATCACTGACATTGTTAAAATCATTTTTAAATCCCGCGTCTAAGCCCATCACTGCCCTGGTGTCTTCACCTCCACACTCCCGGCGCGAAGACCCTCTAAGGTCCCCCACACCCGGGCTGGAATCCCTCGCTCCGCTCATAAAATAAGGGAAAGACGTGCATGTCTCAGCTACAGGACGGTGTCCGACACGTCTGCACCCGTGGCCCAGCACTTCGCTCATTGTAGGTGCTCAGTGCCTCTTTGCCATGGTTGACGCTGCTGATAATAATGCCACGGGGGGACAGAGGGAAGATGAGACAGGAGCTCAGTCTGTCCATCCGTAGTGAGGGGATGCTGGGCATCCAGCTCTGTGCACTTTCACAAACAGCCGTATCTGGTACCCTTACAACGGCGGGCACAATCACAGGCCGAACATTTGTGTGGTGCTTCAGAGTTTGTGAAATAGCCTCATATCCCTCACTTCATCCGGCCTCACAACAACCCCGCTGTGTGGTTTCCTAGGGCTGCTGCAATGAAGTGCCGTAAACAGCAAAATATTGTTTATTTATAAATAAATATTAAATAATTTTAAAAAGAAGGTAAGGATAGGAACATGATATGTGTAGCAGAAAACTAAGTTGCCCTTTTAGGTGGTGTGTTAGTTTGCTAGGGCCGCTGGAACAAAGTACCACAAACTGGGTGGGTTAAAACAGCAGGAATGTATTGTCTCTCGGTTCTGGAGGCTGGAAGTTGAGATCAAGGTGTGGCAGGGTTGGCCCCTTCTCAAGGCTGCGAGGCGAGGGTCCGTTCCAGGCCTCTCTCCTCGGCTCGCAGGTGGCTGTCCTCTTCCTGTACCTCTTCGTATTGACTTCCTGCCACGTGTGTCTCTGCAAATTTCCTCTTTTTATGAGGACATCAGTCCTATTGGATTAGGACCCACCTGAATGACCCCATTTTGACTTGACTACCTCTATAAAGACCCTTTCTCCAAAGAAAGTCACAATTCTGAGGTGCTGGGGTTTAGGACTTCAACATATGGATTTAGGGGGACACGGTTCAACCCATGATGCCTGCCAAGGCCAAGGTTATTATCACCCTTTCCCGCATGAAAAGACCGATGCTCAGATTTACTCTGACCAAAGTGTAAATCAAGGGCCTCTGAAGGCCAAGTCTCTTGATTACTGGATTGCTGTCCTCTGCCACCACAAAAGCAAACACACCCATACATTCCCTCGACCCTCCCTCACAAATGCTGCATGCCCACCGGGGATGTGTAAAAGCAGGAAGGAACTTGACTCGTGAGTAAGCAGCTTCCTCCGGCAAAGCAGCCTCTCAGGCGTGGCCCTCTAGATGTCCACCCCTTTTCCTCATGTCTCTGAGGAAAGGTACTTAACCAGCCGCCGCTTTGGCACCTTCACCCTCCACATTCCTGGTTTTCCAGGTGCCGAGAGCTTCATTCAGCCCTGACTTCAGTCTCCTGCATGGGTAGGAATCTCAACAGTGATTCTCAAACTGGGGAAAGATACTTAAGTATTTTACCTACAGAATTATCTGGAGAAGGAGAGCAGGTGGATGCCTCTGGCGCCACATCTGAACGAGGGCCCCCCTCCTTTCCTGCCGGCCCCCACCCTCAGAGCCCTGTAGCAAGAAGCCATCCCCCAGGGGGCTACCTCTCAGGACTGCTAATGGTGTGTCTGGTGAAAACGGTGGGACTGGCTTTCTTCTTGGCCTGAGACCAAAAAAATCACAGGGAGGAGATGGCAAATGAAACAAACCTCCCTGCGACGGACGCTATTTACTGGCTCCATACTGGCAGCAGCCCTCCAGGGATCCTGGGGATCCATGGACTGGGCCAGAGATAAAACTTCCTTTTCAGGACGACAAGCCAGGGCTGAAATATCATGCAGATGCTGCTGCCAGGTGCCAGTGGCACTTTGGGGACTAGTTGGGCAGGCATCTGGGAAGGACAGGGACTCCCGCTGCCCACCCCCCCTCTATCTGTCTATCTCCCTCACACAGAAACAAGCCTGTGTCTCCAAAGAACCTATTTTTTTTTTCACTGCAGTGGGAACGTGCATGTGCAAACCCACACACTCATGAACCCTCACACTCACGGATGTGCACACCTGCATATGTGAGAAGCAGGAAGTATCTTGAGCTTTGTAGGTGAATAGCCTACAAGGCTCGGCAAAGCTGTCACTCCCTTCCCCGCCTTCCACCCTCCCCCCAGGATAGAACCGCCCACTTGTGACCCTGGGGGGATGGAGAGAGTAGGAAATATTAAGAGGTAGCCTACCTGGGCTCCTCCTATTGTGATCCCATTGACGTTGGCCAAGATCCAGGTGCTGATGTTCAGAGACACCAGGAACAGGAAATGGGCCCTTCTCCGGTCTGTCAAATGCCAGGAGAGGCTGGCATGGAATGTCTTCTGCCACTGAGGTCACTGCTGTGGGAGGTTATAATTAGATCACGTGAACTTTGAGCCGCCACCTCAAAGCAGGCCCTTGGTGGTTGAATCCTAACATTCCAGTCATGGGTTTTTAGCATCAACAGTGATGTCTTAGGAGGGAAAGCCAGTCATTTTGGGCAAGTGTATGAGGGTAAAGTCTAAATTAAACCCAAACAAACCAAGCCAAACAATGAAGGCAGAGGGGCAGTGACGAAGGCTTTTCTAACTCCAGGAAGATGCTTGGATAGTTGGGGTTTTCAGTACAATTACAACTCAAGAAATAAAATATGGTGTCATCACTGGAAAGTTCACACAGAGAAAGGAGGCACCACCATCCCTGCTCTCAGGGACTCAGGATCTGAAGAGGTGGGGGTAGGGGGGCGGCAGGGTGGGGAATCCGACACAAACGTTACTGTGAAAAGAGCACAAAGAATGTGTCCTGATATCTCAGTGGAGAGAAACCGAGAGAACATCTGGTGATGGGGAAGTGACTTTTGACAAGGCTCTTGAAAGATGGGTGGATGCCATCGTGTGGAGGGCCGTGTGGGTTGATAGGAGGCTTGTTCATTTTCACTGAGAGTGGAACCAACACGAGCAAATGCTGGAAGGCTATAATCCCGATTTTCTGTGAATTACCCAGTAACGCTGCAGATCACGTTCTCTCTCTTCTTCTGTGAAATGCAAAGAGGAACAAGGGGCTTTGAACCCTGCTCCTAAAACCATACACAGGCACAGACTATTCCGCCAGAAGCTCCTGCCCACTGACAGTCCCAGACCTGGGTGCCCTCGTGGACTTGGACTCAACTCAGGGAATGGGATGGAGATGGGAAAGAGCCAGCAGCTTCTCCCTTGCCCCATCAGCAGTGGGGGATCGCTCTGTCTTGGTGTCTGATTACTGTGCTTCCTCCTTCTAGATAATCCCAGTGACAGGCCCCCGGGAAGGGGGCACCAAGGTCACCATCCGAGGGGAGAACCTGGGCCTGGAATTCCGGGACATCGCCTCCCACGTCAAGGTGGCCGGCGTGGAGTGCAGCCCTTTGGTAGATGGCTACATCCCTGCGGAACAGTAAGTGGAGGCCGTCCGAGACATGGGAGGAGCAGGGAAGAGAAGTCCATGTAAATAGACGGTTGATGTTGACTTACCTTCCCCGATCAACAATAGATGGTCTTAGAACTTATGGACAGAAAAGGAGAATGTCCCTCACGTTCTAGGGTGTGGGGGACTCCTACAACTCCCCAGCCCCCGAACTAGCTAGCTGCCATATTGGGGGAAGTCCAGAAAGGGGAAGGGGAGATGGCTGGGAGAAAAGGGGAAAGTGATCATTACTTCCTTGAGGTGTGAGGTTGAGTAGGAACAAGACAAAGCAAAAGCAAAATCTGCAGAAGTGTGAGTTCAGCTCCTTGCCCTAGCTCCCTCTGCTGTCCCTAACTCCCCACTCCTGTCCTCCCCCAGTTACGAAAGAAGCTAATCCTATGCTCCCCTCTGTGGAGGCTGAGAATGAACCTTCACACCCACTCTCAGGCCTGTGGGGACTTGGATTGTTTTTCTCCAGCAAAGTCTGCTGGTCCAGGGAGAGGCCCATTCAACCAGTGACCTTGACCTCTAACCTACATGGCAGGGAAGGTTTGGGAGTCATGTATTGCCTTGTAAATAAGTAAATACAGTTTTCCAGCCCAGCAAACACAAGCATGAAATAAATATTCACCAGCGCAATAGAATCTATATTCTACACCCTCTTTGCTGCCCCTCCCGGAGTGAAACCTTGCCACTTGTCCCCGTGTGCACAAGTTATTGACTCTTTGCAAGGTCTCACTTAGGTAGGTGAGTGCGTTTATGCTTGTGCTGGTTGAGTCTTACCCAGATTTTGTGATTCTGGAACCATCAGTCCTGCCATCCTCAGTTCCTCCTTGATTTCCGTCTGGTTCTTCCCAAAACACTCACAGTAGATAAGATGATTGAAGGCTCCAGGCTTGGTAGGACCCATCCTGGTCCATCATCACTTACTTACCCAAAGACCTTTCTGTGGCTCCTTCAACTTTTTGTCCTTCCTAGAACAAAACCAAAGCAGGCTGCTACGGATATATTGTGATTTGGGGAACTTTAAAACGCCCTACTCTGGACTTGTATAGCCAGATATAAATATAAAATATAAAAAATACTATAAAGCCACATGATTAAATATCGTGATACTTAATAAGATACTTAATAAGATAGAACACCAGAAAAAGAATCTATTAGTATGTGATAAAGATGACATTTCAAATCAGCAAGGAAAGCAAAGCTCATTCAATAAGTGGTACAATTTCACCCCCTGGTAAAAGTACAATATCAGATTCTTATTTCACATTATACACCAAAGTAAATTCCAGATGGATTAAGGAGTTAAGGGTAGAAAATGAAAATGTGAAAGGATTAGAAGAAAATGCAGGTGAGAATTTATTTGATTTCAAGAAAGGGAACGTGTTCCAGGTACAAGAGCAAAAGAAAAAATTATAAAGGAAAAGATTAGGAGATTTGAGTATGTAAGACAAAATTGTGCACCAAAAACTGTGTGCAAAGTAAAAATATGAATGATAAACTGACAGTATTGTTATGGCCTGTTACAGTATGCTTTTTCTTAACATTTAAAGAGGTTAGATAAAAGATATAGATAAAAGGCAACTACCACAAAATTAGCAAAGAGCATGAATGTGCAATTCACAGGACAGACAAAGAACTAAAGTCATATTAAAAAAATGTTTAACACCGGTAGTAACCAATGAAATGGGGAACAATTTTTAAAAGTTAATGCCCACCCAGTGCAGCTGAGAGGCATCAGAAATAGCACATTCATACATTCATGTCGGGAGGGTAAATTGGGACGACCTTCCTGGAAGGCAGTTTGGAAATGCAGGTCAGACATCTTTAGCCTGGGCATAATATTTCTAGAACTTTCCCTAAATAAACAGAATGCACAAATATTTATTTGCAAGAATGCTTATTTTTGGCCTTATTTGTAACAGTGAAAATGTGGAAGCAATCTGTATATCTAAAAATAGGGAATTAATTAATTTAATAAATTATTGTCTATACATAGGACAGTAAACTACACAACCATTAAATGTGATACGTAGAAGAATCACGACCAGGCACATACTCAGGGTCCATTAAGTCAGAGCACAGCTTACCAAGCAGAATACAGAGTTCATAATTAATTTTGTGAAAGGAAAGCAAGACTGGAAACATGTACACCGGTATGTTGACAATGGATACTTCTGGGTGATGCAGTTGGGGTGGGAGTGGAATGTAGGTATGGCAAGTGCTTTTATGTACTTTTTAAAAAACTGAACATGTATTAATTATGTTATCTGAACAGAAAAGCATATATTTTTGCTCGACTCTCACACAGAACCCGGAAGCCATAAAGTAAAAGCATGAGCAACTGAACCACACAGATAGTTTTAAACTTTCAAGTGGCAAAAGACCTTATAAACCAAGTTGAAAAACAAGTGATCGACTGGGAGAAAATAATTTCAATATTTATTATGGAGAAAAGTTAATTCTCCTAATTCAGAAGCTCCTACAAAAAGATAATCCATCAGCAAAATAAAGAGAGGGCATCAGACAAGTCACAGGGAAGGCTATCTAAGATTTAAAACACACACACACACACACACACACACACACACACACACACACACACACACACACACACTACATGCAACCTCACCAGTAATCAGGGGAATAAAAATGAAATCGAGATCTCTTTTTTCCTATTATATTAGAAACAATTTTAAAGGACTGATAATGTCTAGTGTTGGACAAAGAGTGAAGTAATCTCACTCACTTGCTGTTGATGGAAGTAAAAATTATTTCCCACTACTATCAAACATTAAAAGCACAAATAGGGCTTCCCTGGTGGCGCAGTGCTTGAGAGTCCGCCTGCCGATGCAGG